TTTAAGCTACCTGTTCCATTTGACATCCCTGGTAAACTGAATGTCCTCGTACAATGCCATGTGGCTGCCCAGCTGGCAACCATGTTGCAATAAAGAGCATGGAAATTTATCTGGGAAAATTATGGAAAAATGTCAGAGGGTCAGGTTTTCTGTTTCTTTGCTTTTTTTTTTTTTGGCTAGCTGACATTAAAATTAAGGAGGTCATGCATGCTGCTACGGTAGTCCACATTCAGGGAGCTATTTTCTTAGCAGTGAGAGCTGGACGTTCCTTTTTATCCTTAAAAGAGAGCCTAAGTTCTGATTAAATTGGTTGGGGTCACCTGTGGTGCACACAATGTTGCATTAGTAAGTAAGCATTAGTAAGTTAAATATAAGCACTGTTAGCTCTGCCTGGCCCTGCATTCAATCATTTTGTCGAGGAACTGCACTGGCCAACTTTTTTCTAATCCTCTGTGTAGTTGTAGTGAATCAATCTGATACACCTGACATCCTCTCCCTCTAATGCTGTTAGTGGTATTTTTCATATTTACCGTTGAGATTTTGTACAATATATAGTGCCCTAATACTGAAAATATATGGGCAGTTTCCAGACATGTTACTGGCCGTGCTCAGCTAATGGCAGAACTGACTTAAGCTGTAGGTATGACCAGACTGAGATAGTGCTAGCTGATGAATTAGTGAGAGACCAAAGACTCTTATGATTGTTATACAAATTTTCCAGTCTTTCCAAATTCCTTTCTGAAGTAGAGTGCCTCCCTTAGTACAGCTCTTCTTCCTCAACTTAGCCTCATATCGGGTGCTGCCTGTCCTCCCTTCTTATTCTGTCCTCATCCACCAGCCTCCAGCTCAGCCATCCCTCTCAGCAGCACTGTCCTGCCTCACCCTGCTGATGTGGCCGACAGAGCTGCCCACGAGCAGCCGCCCTCTCCCCCCAGCATGACTCCTCTTTATGACTCTGCAGCTAGGAGTTTCCAAGCCTGCTTTTCCCATTCCTGCTGGCTTTCCCAGCCCAAATTGCATGAGCAGATATCATACCAGGGAAGGTTCCCACAGGCCCCAGGAGGGGTACTTGCTCCCTGCATGCATGGGAAGTGGTGCTGGGACTGAAGATCCTGCAGATTACTCAGCTGTGGATTGACTCCTTCCCAGAATGATGTGAAGATCATGAGTTGGGAAGAGCCAGCGTCTGTGGGTGTGCTGATCTTCTCGTTATCTACTTGGCACAAGCTCTGCCACTGCACATGAAGTTTCTACCTTCCAGATCATGAAAACACAAAACTTTCATCACCCAAATAATATGTTCTGTAGTCTTGCAGATTATCAAACATCTCTTTGAGGAAGCAAATGGCTCATCCTGTCCTCCCATATGTCTATGATATCTTGACATCTATTTTTTTTTCACTCCTATTTATGGTGGGATGCTTTTCTTTCCCATGAGCGTTCAGAATTCAGACTCCTTTTCTAAATCTCAGCTTAAGGTCTTAGAAACATTCCTGGGAAAACTTTGTTCTTTCATTTTCCTGCTAATATTGTTCTCTACAGAACACCTGCTTTGTTTTCTTACACCATAGTGCATAGATACAGGACTTGTGCAAGAGACTAGCTGGGCCATGGGAAAAGATGGTGGTGTTTTTTGTACAGATATATTGTTGACAAATGGCTTTAAGAGTGCTTAAATACATTTTGTATTTTCTATAACTCACCATTTTCTCCTCCGATATTCCTGAGAAGCAGTAAACAGTAAGAAAATTGGAGCCTACCGCATGCATCCTCATGAATCTCTTTTTAGTTGCCCAATGACATGCTGACCTGTATAATGTTGAACTTAATTTGCTGTCAGCTTTACTATTTTTTTTTTTTATCATTTATTGCTTTTCTTGTATTCTGTACACTTTTCTTTACTTCCCTCTTCTCTGTTTCCATTTCCTTTTCCCAAGGTAAATATGTTCCAAATATTTAGTTACTGCCTGTGGCAGCCACATTAAAGGTTCATCTGGCCCAATTTAATGCTGTATGTGGAGGCCAGCTTCAGAGGAGGAATTACAGGCTGCACAATTACCTTTCAGTTCCCTGTAGAACCCAATAAGTCTAATTCCCTGTAGAATAAGGGCTTATAGCCTCATTTTTTTTTTTTTTTTTTTTTTTTTTTTTCCTTCTAATGTGTGAATTATTCCCATTGAATACATGTGGTATATCTAAACAGTTTGTTCAGGTCTTTCAAGTAGTTGGCCTACCCTTGTGAATGAATTCCACAAACTAGTAATACATGGTATTTTTTTTTTCTGAGGAAATAAGTGTTTTCTTTCATCAGGTCTATGTTTGCTGCTGCCACTGGCGATCTCCTTTCTCTTGTACCAAAAGAATAATGTTGTTTTCTCTATATTTTTCAGTTCTCTCCTGTTCCTTCTCTCAGTTAAACAACACCAATCTCTATCTGAAAGTTTTTCCTACATTTCTGTTCATTTGCCATGTGTCTCTGAGATCAGCTGACCAGAGTCCACCAGTTCAAGTGCAGGCGCTGATTCACACAATGCTATTTCTTGTTCTATTTCCCTCCATAAATGCTAACACTATATTTACTTGTTTGTTCACTTCTATAAATCAAATGGAGCCACGCACAAGTCAGAGGTCCTGAGGGACAGTACAAAGGGCTGTTTGTAGCCCAGTAGTTAGAGCACCCCTTAGCTGGTGTGCCCACTTTATTGTTCTGTGGTCTCCCTCCACACGTCCCTATCCATGGCATATTCATGGCTGCACTGGGGCCCCAAATCAACAGACAATGGAGGCAGAGAGCAGGCATGCATTGAACATCCTCACTGCCTGTTCCTGGCTACACAACTCCTGCTGTGGTTGTTCTTCCGCTGTAGAGGAGGTGGGGACTCACTTCCATCAGACAGTAAGAGGCTGGCATTGATGAACCTACATGGTCACTTTGGTCCCCGTTTCACTTCCCTAGTAGGAGGTTTTCCAAATTAACAACAAATATACAGTCCTGTTAGGACTTCATTCTGCTCTTCCTTCGTCAGCCTCCTGTGGCTGAGTTATGCAGTTTGATTATCTACATTGTTAACTGTGGGACTGTATTTTAATATTTTGCAGTATTCTGTTCTAAATTTAGTCAAATGCTCCTTCACTGATGTATTTGATGGATAAACCAGTAATCCCGTATCACTATTACTCTTCAGAACCTACAGCTTTTTATATTTTTTTTTCATTCTTTTTGTGAAGTATTTCCAAAGAAAAGTTCAGTGGTTTTGCCCTGTTTTCCCATAAGAACTTCCTGTACCCTTGATCATTCTTATTTTAAACAAAAAAACCTATACTCGAGAGATCAAAAGCAGCAACACTGAGAAGAGAGCATTCTTACTGTAAGTATTTAAACAAATGAAAGGACAATTTCTTAAGTAAATATATAAGGCAGAATTAATCCTCCTTCTGAATTAGTGAAACACCAATTACAGTATGAAAGCCATAATCTGTTGCAAGTTAATGTTTCACAAAAACAGCAGCAGTCAGTATTCTTCGTCAAGATGGCTGAGGCACACAGATGCAAAACAAATGAAGGTACAACATTTTAATGAAGAGTTCCTGCCTGTTGATTCAGATTGCTTTGGTCTCATTTGTGCTTACTGCCGTGCTGTGTGAGGAAGGAGGAAGGCACACAGCACCCACTGACAGCTGTTGCTGTGGGATGGGCTGACCCAGGCCTGCACCCCTGGGCATGGCTGCATTAGGACATGGGCACGAGCCTGAGTCAGTCCTGGGATTGTGTGGCTGTGGCTGTGCACAAGGATGCAGGAACTGTGGCAGGACAGAGCAGGTGATTGTTATGACATAGATAGCCCTGTCCCACCTTGATGGCGTCCAGCTCAGCAATTTGTATTTCAGGTAGATATTGTGTGCAGCAGATCTACCTTGCGTAGATTGGATGTGAGAAACGATTTTTCCTGTATGGACAACTAAGCATTGGAGCAGCTTCTCTATACTCAACTGGACAAATCCTTGAGCAACTGTTCTATTGATGTTGACCTTGCTTTGGGCTGGGGGTTGGACTAGAGACTTTCCAAGATCCCTTTCTATCTGTGTTACCCAGTCATGACCTCCATGTCCCAGGGACTCCTTTAGGAGAGCTTGCAAGGTAAAGCAGGAAGCTGAGTCATGCCCAATCCACTGGTTGGATTTTGTACAGTATGGTAAATGTGTGTAACAAACCATTATGTTTCATATGTTATAACACTGAGGCAGAAATATGTGCATAGTACACGCTTAGCATGTACACTACAAATCTGTATAGAGACTTCCCAAGATAGAATACTGAAAGCACACGCTAAAACTGCCTCTCAGTGGTACAGTGCAAAGGGATCCTATCTTTTTAATAACTTTAATAAAGTATATTCAAAGCATAATACAATAAAGGAAGCACATAGTTTTCATTTAGGTCTGGGATCGATTTCCACATCAACGAGGAAGGAGCTAAGTGAAAGGCATGTGACTGCATGAGTGAAATAGCAATAGCACTGGTATCTTAGCTCACGAGGTCATTCATCTAAAATCTTCAAACAGTTGGCTCAGAGCCTAAGGAGAATACAAGTTTAGGTATTAATGAATAGTCCGGAAATCCTTGTTGCTGTTAGCATAGATCACAGAGATAGGGAAGAAAAAAAAAAAAAAAAAAAAAAAAAAAAAAAAAAGGGGGGGCTTCAGTAATTTTCTGCTTTCGGATACTGAGAATTTGCATTTCTCTAAGACTGAATGCACATAGTGTGGTCTTCTCCACAGCTGCCCAAGCTTTCTCTTGACTTCAATAGTTCTCCAGGCATTGTTGTGGAATTGAAGGATATATGGTATTGTTGAGATCAGTGTTTAACTAGTAGAATTATTGTACCTCAGACCTTTTCCCTCTCTCCTTGTTAACCAGTTCCAGTAAATACTTGTTACGACACCTCTAATAGTCTACCTTCAATTTACGACCCGCTAATTTTGCAGCTCTGCGGAAAGAATCCAGAGAGAGGCTTCTATAGACACATCACCCTCTGGCTAAATAGGTTAACTACGTCCCCTCCGGAAGACGCTCCCCGTACCCGCGGCCCGCCCTACCGGCTGCCCCCAGCAGATGGTGCCGCTCTGCAGCAGAAGCCCTCTGCGGAGGACGCGGCCTGGCGGCCCCGCGCTCGGAGAGGGGAAGGTTTCTCTTTCCCGTCAGCAGATTTCAGGTTGTCAAGAGCACCTTTTACTCTGTGGCATGCCTTCTTTATATGGTAATCTACAACAGTTTTTTCGGTTTTACCTTCTCTCCCCCTCCCCCGCCTCCCTCCCTGCCTTAATTACCTAAATTAGTTGCTGTGGGGGAGATGAAGGGAGCAAGAACCTTGATGGAATTGCAAAGAAGCTCTGTTCCACAAGTCGCTCCTGAAGTGCTGTCTCCATCACACAGCAGGTACTTCATCCTGCTTTACACCTACATTTACCACCGATATAATTTTTGAAAATAACATGCTCACTTCTGGGTATGCAAATGTATTCAGTGCTTCCACCTGGAGCACTTTTATGGAGTGCAGGAAACTCTTCTGCTCGGAAGTCAGTGCTGGGGGAGAAGGACTGTTTCAATGAACTGCTGCTTCTGCAGCTGTGCTAATAAAGGAGGGGGAGGAACTGCTAAAATCTCAAAGGACAGAGCTTCGTTCTCAAAACTCTATTTTGTGTGCTTTGGCATGTAAACTTTTTGAATTATTCCATGCAATGTGGCAGGAGTGCCTACTGCGCTCAGGTGCAGCTGTGCACAGCCCTGCACAGCCACCCAGTGCTCTTCAGACTCCAGCAGGCCATGGGTCCCTCTGCAAGGTCTACTGAGGAAACTTCTGGCACCTTGCATTGACTAAGGGCATATTTTAAAGGCAAGCTTTCTACCTGACCTCTAGTTATGTGTTTTGTGGAAATATATCCATCAAACAGTGAGTGGAACTGAGTGAAAGGGACTAATTGTTTAACTTAAAAGCATGCGGATATCCAAATTAAACACTTCTGGAACAAACAGATCTTTTGCTGCTGTTGCAGTTCCTCTCCCAGCAGACTTTGCCAGAAGATGGACAGATTTACATCTAAAGAATGATCGGTTGGTACCACTTACCAATGTCCATGCAGCTAACCGTTTTTATTCCCTCTGCAACTGGAAATATGTCCATCAATTAATCCACCTGTCATCTTAATCACCTTTCTGATTAAATCTCTTCTTACAATTCACATGAACTCCCTCCACATCATCTTACTGGAAACCAAAGAATTTATAAACGTCTGAAAGCTGCAGTCTGTGAATTTCCCTGGCTTGGCTCATCAGTGACAAGAAAACATCACAAGTGATTATCTCTGCATGTTGCATTCTGTCACAGTGATTCCAAAAGCCAAATATTTGGGCTCATTTGCAGTTTTTCTGTGAGTCTGTTCCAGCCAAACCCATCTTAATTGAGTGGTAAAAGTGGATGGAACATGTATTTATTTCTGCTTATTGTTGAAAAGGCAAAATCAAGAAATAGCTATTAGTTGTGTTAAAAAAAACACAACATTTTATCTCAGTTTTTTGATCTTCTTCAACTAATGTCAACTTTGATCAGACTCAGCTGCTGACTATCCTGTTCTATTCTAAAATTTGTCGGACATTATGCTTTACAGAACATTGCTGTGATTGGAGGAGCAGTGGGCTATAGCTGGCTGGAGGTGCTGCTTGATCAAAGTCTGGAGGCTGAACATTCTCTTTCCTGTCTCACAAGTGAGCCTGGATAGGAGCATTTGATGGCTTCCACACAAACTTCAGGTTTGGTTCCTTCTCTTCAAAAGTTTGACTACTTACAATTCATGACAATGCTGTAACATGTATGATAAGGCACGGTATATATTTAAACATAAAGACATCTGCTCTGGGTCAACCGAGGCAGCAAATTTTATTTGCTTTTGGGTAACTACAGTTTCTTTCTTACGTGTTATTTTACAAATCAATGAAAGTGAGGTGTGCACACAGTTACTTATGTTAACTGCAGAAAAGGGTGTAATGAAGATGACATTTGCTGTAGAATAGTAGCTGAGATATTCTACAAAAGAAAAGAGTTTCAACTTTTATACTTATCGGAAATAAAGCATATTTTTGCCTTCTGGTATAACAAGTTTAGCTTGCTCCCAACTGTTAATCCTCATTTGTATTTAAGTTGCCACTCTCCCCAGCTATTTATCCTTATCCTCAGGAGCTGTCAGGGAGCAGACACGCTGCCAAGAAGCCATCCTCCTTGGAAGATAGAAGCAAGGTTCTCCTCCTAGCCAAGAGCTCAGGCGCATAAGAATGAAGTGGGCTCTGTGCTCCCTTTGCAGACGCACAGTGCTCCTGCACGCTGCCGACCTGGCAAGAAAAAGTCCTGAATGTGCCCCAGACCCTGAGACACCTGGCTGGCTTCTTTAACCTTTTCACAGAAGCCTTCTAAGCTAAGTAATTTATTTATAGTAATATTTATCCCTCTCAGACATTTTCCTGGGGCGGTCTCTTTCATACTTCTCTTCGTCTGATTAGTTTCCATAGTGACACTTATTTGTAGAGTTTAGAGTTGCTCCTTGCAGGTTTCTGCAAATGCCAGCCGCATGTGCGCCATGTTAATAAGACAAAGCCAGCCCTAGTTCTTTCCTTTTGATGGTTGGATTTTGCCCTGTATTTGGGAGCACCCTTGGGGAAAAAATGAAATAAAACAAAAAGAAGTGGGGCAGAGGCTCCTTTGGATCCCAGAAGCTTATTTTTCTGGGTGGTACTTTTGACTGAGCTAGTTCTGTCTGAATGTCAGTGGCAGCCTCTGAAGTGCTGTCTGTCTGCATGAACTATTATGTAAGCGAGGGAAACCTTCCATTACAGTAAGGCCTTTAGACTGCTGCTTTATTTAAAATGCAGAATTACATGAAAAAGCAATTCAATTGAGTGGTGCCTTGTAGGTTGCCTTTTATCCCAGGCTGAAGTAGGAACTTGTTTTTCTTCTAGGGAAATTACTACTATTTTAAAAATAGGAGAATGCTAAAATCAGATGCAAGCTTGTAAACACATGCATGTACACACACATCTTAACAGCATGCTGTTCTGTGAAAGGGCTAAACAAATGTCTGCAATCAGGGGATAAAAGCAACCCCCATACTGACAAGAGCAACTTCAGGAATATGGCTATTAAAAAAAAAAAGTTGATTCTTTGCGACAAGAAAAAAAAAAAAGATAATTATAGAAGTAGACCTAAAATTTTAAAATTTGTGTTTTCTCACCCCTCACCCTTCTGAATCTTTGCAAAATGAAGGCAATCTGTGGGGGGACGGAAGACAGATTTGTGAAGCAGGAAATGTTGATTTCAATGTAGATTGTCAGTTCCATGTAGTGTCACTGGCCTTCAGATGTGCTGCAAAGAGGAGGAGAAGGATGTCCTCAATGCATCTCAGTAGGATGGGATCTGCTGAGGAAGCTCAGTGAGACAGATGGTGGCTGCAGGTGAAATCTTGACAAGAAATCAAATGTAATCTCCAGTGAATACTATTATAGAGAGAAGAGCAATGCTTTCTCAATTTATGCTCCTTGTGATTAAAAATATTACTGAACAATTTTTGGTTTGTGGAAGCCCTTAGAAACTTGGCAGGGAGAAAATGCTGTGACTAGAGAAGTGTTTTGCCCTTGTCCTGTGAAATTACACTCAAGTTTGATTGATAGATTAAGTCTGACAGGAAAGAAATGATTATTTTTTAGTTGAATAATGAACAAAATAATGGCAGAATGTCAACAGCAGTAGGTAAACACAAAAATTCTAATCTAGGATTGCTTCTGTTCAAGCATGAAGCGTGGTGGTGCTGGGAAGGATACATGGTCTCTCTGGAGCAGAAAGGGCAAATGAGGCCGTCACTGGGTGGCAGTGGCAGTGCTGTGCTGGGCAGTTGCAGCTCCTTGGTGCTCTGGCAAATAGGCAGTATTATGTGGAACAAAGTGCTGCTTGGCAGTTTGGGAGCTGCTTCAGATGCCAGCCTCAGCTCCAAAGCAGATCGCATCTTCAGGCAATCCTCTTTAGCTCATTTTGCCCATTTGTGTTATCAAGACAGTCATATTCTTATCCTGTGGTAGCGATTACACATTTAGAAGGCACAAAGAAATGTGAGTACTCTGAGAAAGGCCTTGAGGAAACAAATAACTCCTCATTAATTACTGACATTGGGCGGATCACTGAAAGGAATGTGCTCTACTAATTAAAAGATAAGGATCAAAATATCAGATGCCTCCATCATTATGTGAGCATCAGTCAGAGAGATGAGGGGAGGCAGCACACGGTCATGGTACACATACATGGGTTCACAGTGTGCATAACTGCAGGTTATGAAGCCGTCTCTGTGTACCTTGGTTACCCAGGCATGTGAGGTTTACATGGCTGTGCTATCTGCCCAACTATCAATCTTTCTCTCCTTTCCTCTCAGTAATGTTTGAACTTGGCTAAATTCAATCAAATCTGACGTGAGTGTAAGAACTCTAAAAGTTATGAAAATCAGTGTCTGAGCAAGGGCAGGGTCCCTGACAAATCAGTTTGCCATCTGGTCCTTTGGTATGTACTCTGGTTGGCCTGGATGGATTGGCATGGATCTATCTCATGCACATGCTGCCTTTGGCTAGCGATCTTCTTAAAGACACAGGAAAAAGGTGATTAATTAATGTCCATAGGGCTTTGTAGGGGACAGCTGGAAGAACTGGAGGTCACTGTTACTATAGTGGAATATGCTGAGACAGGATACAAGTCTATAGGAGACCTGATATCACTAGATCTGGGACTGTGTAATGTTTTGCAGTCAGCGTCTATATAAAGAATACAGATTCAAGGGAAGATTTTCTTTGGCATTCATAGCTGCAAAGACATTGCAAAGACAAAACATTGTTCTTTTCTAAGGTATTTTGGCATTTATGTCTGTTGTCTGATTCAACAGGATAAATCTACTTTTTGCTATTGCTACTGCAATATGTTCGGGCCATAAACAAGTTGTTTACCACAAGATGAAATGGTATCAAAGAAATAGACTTGATACCCACATAATTAAACTGCTTATTAAACTGCAGGTCCAGAAATATCTAAGAGGTTATTGAATAACTCTTCTTGTCTTCACAGTCATATTTGATCTCTTCTTTAGTACATCTTGGGCACATCTTGGACAGATCTACCCAACACCAGTTGAACAATTTCTTGTGTTTTGGATGCTTCTTGTTTGTTCTTTGTGCTAAAAGCATTTGTACAATGATACACTATAATGAAGTTTATCTTGGTCTCTAATAATTAAATAGTAAGTTGTTTGATTACTGATTATTTGATGTACTGATAAAAAATGCGTTCTGTGAGTAATATCCACTTCAGAGAGGAATGAGCTGAACAGCACAGAGTAAAACTAAACTCAGGTCTTGGCAATATTTAACCATGCAGTTAGGAACAGATTTTGAAGATGCTTTATAGATACTACATGGTTCCTGCCAAAAAGTATTCAGCCCATAGGCTCAGACCTCCAACCTCTCAGCCTCCCTTATTACTCCCAGCTGCTTTATGACCCTAGAGCAGCAAACAGACCACAATGTCTCTTTTCTGAGCCTGAACTCATCAGCTGAGGCAGTGCCTAATGATTTAAGTGCAGTGTATATGCCAACACCATGCAGAGATATGAGAGCTGCCTTTGAACCAAACCTGCTGGGGTAGCAAAACGAAAGGTACTAAATCATCCCCCTTGGAGTGCTTTGCAGCTTTGCTTTTCCTGTCAGAATGAGCTTGCTCAGGTGAAAGTACTCTGTGTATACAAGTTAGTTATCTCCCTCCCCTCCCCTTGTTCATCTTGCAACTCATATCCAGTACACAGTCTGTTTTGTTTCTATGTCGTCTTCTCTGCAAACAGTCCGAAAGTCAAGCATCTTTTCTAATAATGGCTTTGGTGTATCTTGTGCATCTTTAGATCTCTTGTCATGATTGACAGCACTGTGCCTTTTATTTATCGTGCATTACAATTTCATAGAATAACACTGTGCTAGCTGACATGAAAAACAATATAATCCACAGAGTATGGTATTAATGCTTCAGAGCAAACACACTTTTCCTGCCAAACCTCACTGAATGTGCATGTACCAAGTTCCGCATATTCCTTTTTACACTGAAGAATTTTAGCTTAGTTTCATAATTTTACTTTGAATAGGATTTGCTGAAATTTGCTAGGCTGCTTCCAGCCCCACCAAGAAAAAAAAGAAAAAAGAAAAAATCAACATTTAAAATATTCACATTCCTCCCCCAAAAATCGAATTTTACTTCTAGTTGCAGACTCTGCAAATATAAATAAAATTTCATCCTCATGCATTTATATAGTGCAAACATTTTTTTTAAAGGATAAATAGCTGTTAAAGCACTTTCAGCTCATCTAGCAATTAAAAAATCTGTAGTAAAATGTCCAGATGTACAGAACAACACTCAGAGCCTTAGAAAAGTATTAAAACAACACCAGAAACATCAAAAGGACACTCATAAAAGTGAATACATCTGGAAGATTTTGCTGTCATAGAACCACAGAATCATTAAAGGTGGAAAAGACCTCTAACATCTCATGGTCTATGTAACAAAGTAAGTTTTCAGTATTTCTGTTTTGATTCTTTTTTTCGAGAAAGTGATTTCTTTTCATATAGACTATTTCAGAAAAAAGCCCAATGTATTAACACATATTACGCTCGTGTACTGTTCATATTCACCTGAGCTTTATCCCCTTTTCACAGTATTTGGCCCGTAAATTTAAGCATAGATGACAAAAATTGATGTCCAATTAAAAAAGCTGCTCAGGAATGGCTGAAGTCATTAATGACCCTGGATTTCAAAGCAATTAGAGAAAGAATTAAGGGATTAATATTAATATGTGCTAATCTTGTTAGTCATGAGGCCCTGAAACTATAAAATTTGATACCAAATCCGAACTGGGACAACAAGTTTGAATTTGTACTTGTCAATTAACTCCAGGTAGTGGTAGGATAGCACCTAGTTTTCTTGCCTTCATTTTAATGATTAATTACAGATCCTCCAAAGAAAAAGTTGCAGCACAATTGCAGCACACAGTGTATAACTTGAGACATGGTTCCCAATTCTTTGTGCTGTACTGTTTTTGTCATCTGCAGTAACTGGGTAAACCCAAACATATGAATCTCAGAATCTGAAAGCATAAATAGTAGAAAGGAAGCAGATTTTGTGTCAATACAAGGGCTTAGAATTAAAGATTGTTTTTATAAGCTCAAAGTAGGAAATATTTTTCTACACTTGATTCCACTCTTCTATTATATTCATGCAGTTCATATAGATGGTAATTTGTATAGTTGGGTTCCTACTATGCAAAAGTCATAAACTGGAGCATGGAATGAAATACAAGAAATAATTATTTACTTTCTACTTTCATTGTCTTTTAAATATAGATTTTCAAAGTAGAGGACTAGAAATTCAAAAATATTAAAAAAATTCAAAAAAAACCCACAAAAAATAAAGATAAATCAAATTGAAATCGTTGCTGTATTTCGGTCTCTGGATTTCAGTGTCTGCACTTTTAATAGCAAGGGAGACTACAATGAAAAGGCATATTATTGAGGTAAGGATTGGGACAGGAAGCCTTTAAGGAACTCCATGATAAATACAGAATCCTGGCTTCCCTGGGAACATTCTGGTGTTCCTGCGTGTCCTGGTTTTGGGTGGGATATGTGGGAGCTCCTGATTTGGACCTGGATCACCACTTTCTGCTATTATGTGCTTCTCTGTGCAGACACTCACTTTGAATTCTAGAGGGGCATATAGTCCTTAGCATTTTTAAAATGTACTGTGCAGTGATTTGCATGCTCCAGGGAGGCTTTGCCACTTAGGGCTATTTTGCACAGTCAGAGCCATTTAGAGTGAACACTGATGAAAAAAGAAATCTCTTAGGTATGCACTATTTATTATGGCAGAAATGACTTATTTTGCGGATAAATCTGTAAAATTCTTAATTTCATTTTCTACTGATTCAGTTTAAAACTAATTGGTTTTATAAGAATATTTCTTAGAAATTGTCTTTCTGCTCCTTTCTGGACATTTATAGCCCCACAGACTGCTGCTTTTCCTGGTCACGGTAGTGTTGCTAACATCT